CTCCCTGCCTCAACCCTTCCACCATTGTAATGTGACCATCAGAAGGGTTAGCATGGCTGAGACATGTTCCTTGTCCCAGAGCAATACAATTTGTATATTTTGCATATCATTCTAATGAAAATCCAAGCTACCTTTTAAACACCATTTTATGTTATTTTGTGTTTACAAATCCTGTCTGTGTTTCTATAAATCCCATTGACTTCAGTGGGTTATTTGCTCTTCCTTTCTCTTTCCTCTCTTTCCTGCCTTTTGGATTCTATTTGTTCTAGATACTATTTTATTGTATTGTTGAAAACTTTAATAAAAAACTTTAGGAGGGGGAGAAGAAAGTGGAGGAAATATAATATTCACTACAGTAAAGATACCCGAGGTAAAACTGATTTTTAAAAAATGCAATATTAGCACAGCCATATGAAATATTCAGGCACTAATTTTGAAGACATGCATTCTCATTTAATTAGTTCCAAATCCAACTATATCAAGAAGAGAGAGCTTATCATGACATTTACAAATATTTCCCAATATCTCTCCCATATGCCAAGCGTCGGTGCACTATCACCCTGTTTAGGGAAGTTTTTAATGTTTGATGTTTTATCGTGTTTTTAATACAGTGGTACCTTGGTTTATGAACTTTATCCGTTCTGGAAGTCTGTTCTTAAAGTGTTCTTAAACCAAGGCACACTTTCCTATAGAAAGTAATGCAAAATGGATTAATCCGTTCCAGACTTTTAAAAACAACCCCTAAATCAGCAATTTAACATTAATTTTACTATCTAACAAGACCATTGATCCATAAAATGAAAGCAATAATCAATGTACTGTACTATAAAATAAAGAAGGCAGTATTGTAGACAATAAAAATTAAAATTAAAAAAAAAATCTTACCTGCACTGATGACAGTCATTGTTTGGATGGGGGGGCTTTTATCCATTTCTACAGTCACACAATCAATCAGTAGCTGAACTGGGTTCCGCACAGTCACAAAAACAAATTAATTGAAAAAGCCTCAAAAACAATATGCAAAATAAATAGCAGAAACAAAAGTGTCATACTTATTCCATTCTTAAACAAAGGGTTCTTAAACCAAGGCGCACTTTCTCATAGAAAGTAATGCAAAATGGATTAATCCGTTCCAGACCTTTAAAAACAACCCCTAAATCAGCAATTTAACATGAATTTTGCTATCTAACAAGACCATTGATCCATAAAATGAAAGCAATAATCAATGTACTGTACTATAAAATAAATAAAACAGTATTGTAGATGATAAAAATTAAAATTAAAAAAAATCTTACCTGCACTGACGATAGCACTGGGCAACAATTTTTTACTTTTTGAATGTTGTCTAGATTTCTACAACTGATTTAGGGTATTTTTGCACTGCTGAATCAGGAAATGGCATCCGTTTCTCTCCATCAGGTCAGGTTTACTGTAAACTGAATGGTGGGCATTGATAAAGGTAAGTACACGTAAATTGCATGTTGCTTCACCATTTTTCAAACTTCAGGGCTTGAACTTCCGTTTCTTGGAACTCCTGGAATGCTCAGTGGCAGGGAGGTCTCTCTTCAGAGTCCAACAGTAGTCAGCCATCATGACTGCGTCCCAGTGACCCTGATACCTGGTCTCCATCTCTTTCATGTCCTGATGGAATCTTTCCCCCTGCTCGTCACTCATTGAACCCAGGTTCTCAGGAAACCTGTCCATATGTGAAAATAGGTAGTGCATCTTGACGCTCATGTTGCAGCCCAGGTTTCTGAAAGCAGTCAGCATGTTGTTGACAAGTTCTGCGTAGTTTCTGGCCTTATTGTTGCCAAGAAAGTTCTTCACTACCAGAACAAATGCCTTTCACGCTTCCAGTTCCACTTCGTTCATTGAGTTTCCGAACTCTGGATCTCTGATGAGCTGACGGATCTGAGGACCATCAAAGATGCCAGCTTTCAACTTCTCCATGGTCAATCCTGGAAAAGCCTGGCACAAGTAAGTGATGCAGTCACCATCCTTGTCCAGAGCCTTGGTGAACTGCTTGATTAAGCCAAGCTTGATGTGCAGCGGTGGGAAGAGTATTCTGTCTCTGCCCACCAGAGGGTTGTTGATGACGTTCCTTTCTTTGCAAGGCACCAATTCCTCCCACACATGACAGTCCTTCTTCGTGTAATGCTGAGCACGGTCCCTACTATCCCACATGCACAGAAAACATGGGTACTTGGTGAAGCCAGACTGTTGTCCCAACAAAAAGTTCACCATCTTCAGGTCAACACAAATAAACCACTTGTGCGGATCATAACCAATTTTCTCCAGCACATACTTCACCGCTTCATAGTTCTCCTTCAGTCAAGTAGTCAAGTGAGCCAGGGGTATAGAGGCAAACTGGTTGCTGTTGTGTAGCAGAACACATTTCGGTGATTGCTTGCTGCTGTCAATGAACAGTCTCCAATCTTTGGGTTCGTACTGTGGCACTCCAAGCTTGAGCAGAAGCTGTGCAATATCTGCACAGTACACCAAGTCCTTCTCTTCCAAGGAAAAACGGAGGTACTCTTGATGCCTGTTGAGGAAGAAGCTGATGCAAGCACTGTCAGAGAGGAGGTTTTTTTCCTTCAATCTGGATGCCAACAGTTCGGCAGAGTGCTTTGACAAGCTGATGTCGCGAACTAGATCATTCAACTCCTTTTGGGAAAATGGATGTGGAGCATCATCTTCAAGAACCACTTCTTCTTCTTCATGTCCTTCAACACTGGAGGCATCTTTGTCACTAATGTCAGGAAGTTCTCCAAAGATAGGCACTGGAATTTCATCACAATGAGCTACAGGACGACGTGCTGATTGAAGATCAGGATACTTGAGGCTGCTCCGGTTCTTTCTGTTGATCCCAGCTGCACTAATTTATGGAAGATTTTGAGGTTTTGCGACTTCAAACTGATCCCTTTTCGACATAATCACCCAGCACTATCGGACCTGAATACTTCTTGTCATTAAAATAATCATTTCCAATCAAAACAATTATTCAACATGGCATTTTACCCGCACCAACTTCTTCTAAAATGCTCCACACAAGCGTACATGTGAACAAAAACGTAAAAAACTGACATGTGGCCATAGCTCAAAAACTTGACCTGATTGAGCAAAACCAATGTGATTTTTGGATTCAGCGCATCAGATTCGTCCTAAATCAACTGAAAAAACGCAGACAACAAATTTGTTGTTGACCAGTGTAGTCATTGTTTGGATGGGGGGCTTTTATCCATTTCCGCAGTCACACAATCAATCAATAGCTGAACTGGGATCCACACAGATCCCGCCACCCACACTGCTGTGGGAAATGCTCCCTAGAGCATGCGCCTCCCGCAGTGGCATGGGGGGGGAGATGACTGGCGGGTGCGCAGCTTCCCTCCCTCGTGGCTGTGGGAAACACCGAGACGGCCCCCTTCTCTGCTGCTGGACAACGGAAGTGTGGCACTCAAAGCAGAAGTGCACCCCCAAACGGAGTACGTTCGTATACAAAAAACAAAACCACGCAACCCGGAACACTCATTTCTGTGTTGGAAGTGTTCATAATCCAAAAAGTTAGTTAACTAGGCTGTTTGTAACCCGAGGTACCACTGTATTCTGTTTGGAGCTGCCCAGAGTGGCCATAAACTCATATGGCTCCTCGCCATTCTTTCTCACAAAGTGGGCTTATCGTGGAGGAGCAGGCTGGCATTTTAGTTCAAACCAAATTCCCCTTTCCTTTCCTTCTTTTTTTTTTCTCTTTCTTTCATTTTCTTTCACACGCTGATAGAAGCTGCCTCTGCTCTTTGAGTGCTTAATACACTCAATTCGCACATGAACTCTCTTGGCCAGAATCTTGCCCTTACAGCAACTTTCTTGTTCACAATAATTCCCACAGCATGCTCGGTAATGCCGCATACCAGTGTTTCTCAACCTTGGGTCCCCAGGTATTGTTGGACTACAACTCCCATCATCCCTGACCACTGGTCCTGCTAGCTAGGGATCATGGGAGTTGTAGGCCAAAAACATCTGGGGACCCAAGGTTGAGAAAGGCAGCTGTATACCCTTCCCTTATTGCCATGGTAACATTTGTGGCGCACGTTGTTGTTATTGTTGTTGTTTAGTCATTTAGTCATGTCCGACTCTTCGTGACCCCATGACCCAGAGCACGCCAGGCACTCCTGCCTTCCACTGCCTCCCGCAGTTTGGTCAAACTCATGCTGGCACCTTCGAGAACACTGTCCAACCATCTCATCCTCTGCCATCCCCTTCTCCTTGTGCCCTCCATCTTTCCCAACATCAGGGTCTTTTCCAGGGAGTCTTCTCTTCTCATGAGGTGGCCAAAGTCTTGGAGCCTCAGCTTCACGATCTGTCCTTCCAGTGAGCACTCGGGGCTGATTTCCTTAAGAATGGATAGGTTTGATCTTCTTGCAGTCCATGGGACTCTCAAGAGTCTCCTCCAACACCATAATTCAAAAGCATCAATTCTTCGGCGATCAGCCTTCTTTATGGTCCAGCTCTCACTTCCATACATCACTACTGGGAAAACCATGGCTTTAACTATACGGACCTTTGCTGGCAAGATGATGTCTCTGCTTTTTAAGATGGTGCCTAGGTTTGTCATTGCTTTTCTCCCAAGAAGCAGGCGTCTTTTAATTTAGTGACTGCTGTCACCATCTGCAGTGATCATGGAGCCCAAGAAAGTAAAATCTCTCACAGCCTCCATTTCTTCCCCTTCTATTTGTGGGGCAGTCCTTTCTGAATTGTGCCCGTGCCCTTTATGTCAACAATATCACCCTTCTGATAGATGCACATGAAGGTAGTGAGAGGGACCACACCATGTTTGCAAAAGGGTCTTGAGAACATGTAACATGTCCCCCTCCCTTTCCCCTTGCTGTTGGTCATCTTGATGGATTACTTACTGTAAGATGGCGTCCAAGGCCAGGGGGACGGGGAGTGAATCATAGCATTGTTGATCATCTAGTCTAAGCCTCTGCAATGCAGGAATAGGCAGCTGTCCCAGATGGGGATTCGAACGTGAAACCTTGGCGTTCATAGCACCCCACTCTCCCCAACTGAGCCACCTGAAGCCCCTCTCTTTGTTCCGCTCCTGGGCGCCTGTCTCCTTAGCCACGTGGGACGCTCTTATTTCCTCCCACCTGAGAGCAACACATGTGGATTAATCTTATTAAATACAGAGTTTGACCCACCCTGAGCTCTCAGGCTGGGCAATAATAGAGGCAATTCAAGGTTAGAAATATGACTGTACACAATTTAAAAAGACCGCTTATCTGAAGGAAACAGAACACAAACATGACATTTTAATCCGGTCAAGGCTGTTCTCTTGCTGTCCATCCCTCACTGTCTGGCCCCCAACAGTCGCTTCTAAGGCCAGGGAAAGGTTGCTTCCAGGTGGTAACAGAATCCTAATTAAAATGATAAACAGTCTTTAGCTAAGGAAGAATTCACCTGTTTGAACTGTCTCCTGTCGAAAAGGAAAACCCAAAGAGGCTGAATTTGGGGTCTACTGCTTTGAGAACAAAATGGATGGGAGAAGGATTAGAATAATTATAACATGCAGCAGCAATTGATAACTTGAGGAAAGCACGGGGGGAAGGGAAGTCGACCATTGAGGGATTAGCTTGTGAACTGTTAGATTAATTGTCTTGTATTCTCTCTGGGAAATGAAATAAATATTTTTTGGAAGGAATTTGGGGTCTACTGTTCCTCTTCTTCTGTGCCATTGTTATTCAGAAGACAGACCAACACGGGAGGCACAGAGGCAGTCTACTGCAGAGCTGGGAGAAAATGTCTCAGATGTCTAATAGCTAACCCTGAAACTAGAAATTATTTTGCAGGCGCCGGTGCTGTTGCCATGGTTTCCAGGAGGCAGGAACTCCAAGGTCATTCCCTGGAAATCCTTGACGCCTGATGCCAGCCCAGAGATCTCCTCAGCCTTCTCCATGGCCTCTTCCAATCTCCAGCAATGGAGGCCGTCGCACAGCTCAGCTGCTGCTGTTGCCACCTGAGCAAAAGGCCCAGAGAGAAACACCTTGCGTTCCTTACGCAGTCAAACAAATCACAATATTAGGCAGAAACAGGCTGTCTCTGGAGTTTTTCCCAGCAGCCTGCCAATGTCTGGCCACATCTGCAGATGCTTTGGGAAAGCCAGAATCACGTCAGGTTTTTCTGGTGCCCCTCTCTGGGTAATTGTTATTAAATATACCAAGAAAATATCACACCAAGAACTCTGGCCAGTATAAATTTCAGTAGTGGGAGTAGTCCCTACTCGCAAATAAATAGTCAATTGTAACAAAGACAGGACCCTGTTTCAATGTATTCACCTTCGTCAGCTAATTTTTAAGGGGTCGTGTAAGTTTGAAGAATTCGTATAAATATATCCTGTTATTTTCTACGTTTCTCAGAGATAACAACTACGTGTGGGTAGATCGATGTGTATCTGGAGCAGAGAAAAAAACACACAGAAAAGCTCAAGATACATGTCGATCTACCCAGCAGATCACAATACATAAAATACCACAAATCATCCAAAACGATGTAAAGATCTTCTTTATAAGATCCCCTTAATGTCCAAAGTGAGTGGTGATCTTCTTTGTGGTGGCCCCTCGACGTCCGTCTTCCCAGGGAGGCTCAGCTTAGTGCCAAGCCTGATTTTTTCCCCAGCATTGTGAAGACACTTTTAATGGCCCAGATCTTCCCGTGTGCTTTATCTGTATCTTCTTAGAATCATGGAATTGTAGAGTTGGAAGGGTCCCTGAGGATCATCTAGTCCAACCCTCTGCAATGCAGAAATATGAAGCTGTCCCATACGGGGACCGAACCTGCAACCTTGGCACCATGCTCTAACCAACTGAGCTTTCTTCCATCACTCTGTCTGTTTTCATTACTTTTAATAGATTATCATGTAAACGTGCTATGAAAAATGCCCTGGGAGGGCTTGGCTTGAATAGAGCTATAGAAATTATATAAATACATGCATTGGCACACATAGCCCAGTGAGTTCAGGACTCTCTGAAGGGAAAGCAACGAGGAATCAACCAACCATTCCATTTATTGATCCAGTCAACAGACCTCACCATAGTGCATTCATAACATTAAAAAGTAAGCTGCAAAATTATTGAATATCAATGCAAAATGGGAAAGCATGTTTAGATTCATTAAGTAAGATTTTTACTTGTATCTTCATTGATCTGAGCAAGTGTTTAGCTGCACAATTATTCTTGCTTATCTGAAAGGAGACAAAGAGTTTAATGTCCCCGGGACTGTCTTCCAGGATACAAACGGGTTACTGGATCAATCAAATGCTTTCTGGAGATCTCAACAAAAGTTCCAAAATAGTAAAGAAGAGGGGATCTAGTTGAAATGTGCAAAGAGGAAGGGAATGCATTGTGAAACACTTAAGCTCTACAGGTATTTGGTCTGAGAAGTAAGGGAAATGCTTGTTGACAAAGGTTTGTAGGTTTTATTGGCTACTGGACATGAATTTTGAACATCTGTGTCTTTGATCTACTGAACAGTAAAAAATCCAGCCTTGCCAGGACCGTATGAACAAGGTTGCAAAGGAATAGAACCCAGAACACACTTGTATTATTATTTAGCATCTTCATCCATAATCTGACATGGTGATCTAGAGATGATAGATAACCCAGGAGAGAAAACAGGGAACAAACTGAAGCCAAATCTCCAATTCTGAAAACCAGAGGCCTTGAGCTTGTGTTAGAACATCAGCTTTGCATGCCCAGATTCTCCCCCCCTTTTTAATTACTTTTTTATTCAAAATTAAAACAAAACATATTATCCAGAAACATATCATCCTTATCCCCCCCCATTTTTCCTCCCTCCCCCTCCCTCCCCCCACAGAACCCACCCCCCCACCCCCCGACGTCCCTCAGTTCCAGTTTTTGATTTCTCGAAAAATGCTGTTTTCTGCATGTTACACAGTTGTATAGATCCTCAAACTATTTAAGTAATAATTATCAATAAAAAGTTTGTGAATGTTTATTCAAAACCAGCCAAGGAGTCCAGTTCGCTTTGTTGCGTCTTCAAATACTTTGTAAAGGGTTCCCATTCATCTTTAAAGTGACAGTTGTCCTTGTCCCGTAGCTTGTTGTTTTTTTTTAAATGATATTTATTAAAGTTTCAGAAAATACAAGAATTACACAAAAACAAAAAGTAAAAATACAAGAAAATACAAAATACAGAAAAAAGAATAAAGTTTTTAAAATATAACAAAGAAATGAAAAATAAAAAAGAAACATACAAAATAAAAACAGTTAAAAACACGTTAATTTTCCATAGCATATCTTCCTTACACTTATTTCCCCGGACCTCCTCGTACCTCCCTTTTTTGTATTCCAGTTCAGTTTGTTAGTTCAGCAAATCCTTACCATTAAGCTTTTACCCATTTGTAAACCTTTTTTCGTATCTCTTAAAGCATTACAGCTGGAAACCACTTAGTTTCTATCCAACATCCTTCTAAGATTCCTTAATTTTACAATATTTCTGTAAATAGTCTTTAAATTTCTTCCAGTCTTCTTTCACCGACTCTTCTCCCTGGTCTCGGATTCTGCCAGTCATTTCTGCCACCTTGTCCCGTAGCTTGTATGTCAGTTTTGCCAGTTCTGCATAGTCCATCAATTTTTCTTGCCATGATTCTTTAGTTGGGGTTTCTTCAGTCTTCCATCCTTGTGCTATTAAAACTCTCGTGGCCATTGTTGCATGCATGCCCAGATCCAATCCCGGACATCTCCAGGTAGAGCTGGCACCTCGGAGAGCCAATGCCAGTCAGTGCAGACCCTCCTGAGCCAGGTGAACCAATGGTTTGACTTGTCATAAGACAGTTTCCTACTGTTTTCGTGTTCCAAGCCCTGGGCTCTATAAAACCCAGCCTTGCCCCTAACCTCATGGCTGTAGCTGCTGCACAACTGGGGCCACTGGCAGAGGAAGGGGTGTGTGGTGGGAGCAGTCACCCCAGGTGTCATCCCTGAGGGGGGTGACATCGCCACAGTAACCCCCTGGGATGCTCGCCGTGGGCGGTGCCCCCCTGGGAAGCTCACCCTGCCCCCTAGGACACTTGCCCTGCCCCTGCAGGCAGCTAGCCCTGCCCCCGGGTGTACAGCATGTGTGCCAGAGCAGCTAGCTCCGTATGCTGGTCCTGGGGGGTTACCGTGTGGCGTGGTCTGACTCCAGTCCAAGGTCGGGGGTGTGGTATGGGGGCTGTCCGTCAAGGCCGAAGCAGGGTCCAAGGCAAGGAGTCAGGTGAGGTCAGGAACTCTGGCAGAAGAGCAGGACAGGGTGCCGGCAGAAACAGGTTACCAACAATGTTGCTCCCACAACCTGGGACTGGGGCTGGCTGGCTTTTATCTCCTCTGAGGCATAGGGCAGCCCCGGTCCACAGGTGACTCGCCTCTCCTGGTCTGGAGGCGAGCACTCCTCCTGCAAGGACTTAGTTCCCTCCTCCTCTCTGCCCTGAGCCTCTGCAGCTCAGGAGAGGCTGGAGGGTTACTGGACCCAGAGGCAACCCCACCTTTCCCTGACAGGGCTGGGAGAGGAGCACCTGCAGGCAATGGGTCCTCCATCACCTCCAGAGCCAGAGCACATTCAGCTGGTGTCTGCTCCTGAGGATCCGGCACAGGTGAGGGCCCTTCAGGCTCAAGCCCCAGCCCTGGCTCAGCCGGTCCTGGAGATGGGGACTCCTGTGCAGGCTGGGATTCCTCAGGCTCAGCCTCTGAATCAGATTCCCAGGCCATCACACCCTGCCTCTGACTGGGGCCACCAAAGATTATCCTTAAGAAACTGGATTGAAAGTTTTCAACACTTGAATTGAAACTCAACATCCAAATCTGAACACAATATAAAAGCCAAACAGGTGGTTTAGCAGCAACAACTTGCACTCCTGAGGGGCAACAGTCCCCTTCCTTGTAGCTGAGTAGCAATTCTGCTATCATGTGAATTTTCTATTACAAAAATTCCTAGGAAATTCCCAAGGCAGGAAAATTTCATAGGAACCTGTAAAGGGTTTCTGGGAATTTTAACTCTTTGAGGGGTAAACTGCACTGCCCATAATCTTT